GAGCTCCCAGGCAATGCTGAGGCCTCTCTTGTGCTGTTCCAAAATTGCAGCTTCTGGATTTGAAGTGTGCCTTTCCTGGTCACCTGAATTTCTTGGCAGCCAGTCCTCTCTCACTATTGCTTTTCTGACTTGAGTGGATGGTGCCACTGTGATTGTTCCACATACCTCAATGAGTGCACAGTCAGCCTTAGCATCCTGATGTGTAAGTATGATAGTTAAAAGTAGGCATGGTCTTTATATTTGGTCATATCTGTCAATTAAGGTAGCATACATCCCTGAGGTCTTGTCCAAAGTTTCTTCAAGTCAGAATCCAGCTAAATTTTCAGGGTATCTCTTGTCCAACTTTGAAATAAGTTTGAGCCACCTAAACCCCAGGTAAGTCCTTATCATTTTAGTGCATATTTTCCCCAACATCAGTGCCCTAGAAAGCTTCCAACAGTTCATCTTAACCTAGAAGTCTTAGTCTTAGTGTTTCCGTCTTCTATATGTATACAACCCTTTTAGTAAATGAAAATTCTCATTTTCATAAATAGTTTTAAAAATTATGGATGGAGTTCCATTATGAATTCTGGTTGTCTTTGTAACTACAATCAAGCTTCTATGTAGACATAGAATTAATTAAATGATTTATTTTCACATTCCATTTTCAAGATAAGACTACATTTCAAAGAACTGATACACAGACCACATCCAAAAGCACAATGAATGTTATAAGTCAGAATTAAAATGTTTAAAGTTATATGTTTAGAAGTTTATGAAAGTACATCGATACAACTCATGGGTCAATGGGCTGGGTGCTAGTCTTCCAAAATTCACATGTCAAAATCTTAACTATCAATGCAATGGTATTATGAAGTGACTTTTTGGAAAGAGGGGAGGTCCTGAGGCCAGATCCACCATAAATGAGACTGGTGGCTTTGTTAAAAATCACCCCAGAAAGTCTCTTCAGCCCTTCCACCCTGTAAGGACACCCCAGAAAGTCTCTTCAGCCCTTCCACCCTGTGGGGACACCACAGAAAGTCTCAATAACATTGTCAGATACTGTTTGTGTCTGTGAAACATGGATAAGAGTTTTAATTTTAGTTTATAGATCTTATTGTGTAAAATTTCAACTATTATTTTCATGAAAAAATATAATAATCATAATAAGAATAATAGGAGCTCAGATAATAATCCATAGTCTTTTTAAAGGCTAACTGGAATAACTTTTTTGGAAGGAGCATATTTCTCTCAGCAACATTGTTCTTTTGTCAAAAATGTCTAGCCCTTTATATAATCACATTTGCTTTAGGATGATTATTTCACGCTTCTGTTAAAAAGATTCCAGTATTTCATAGAGATCATTCCAATTTTTAGATATCCCTTTGACTTCTTTCTTGATCCAGTTTTTAAGTCATGGCTTTGTTTAATTTTCTATATGTAATTTTTCATGGTTAGCAAAATCCTACAATTATAGTTATATGCCTTGTTAATTATACAAATTTTCTTTGCCTTTGTTGAAGAGAGTCAGATGATCAAGTACCAATAGAAGACCAAGCTATTTCCATGAAGATTAACTGCAAATATGGTTGCATGCATTTTGGTGACATGACACACAACATACGCTATTTTAGTATGAATTCACCATATTATTTTATGCATTATTTGAATACTTTCTCCACACTGATAGGATACCTTCTCTCACCTCATGTTTCATGGGATATTGTAATTTAAGTAATTGATTGCAACTAAACTTGCTTAATTTGTAAAACTTTTGAAGAAAGTTGTATTTTGTTTTTTATTTTATGTAACTATATGTGTGTATTTCTGTATGTGCATGAGCATGTGGATATCGACACATTCCAGAAGAGGGTATTTGGTTTTTCTGGAGCTGGAATTTCCAGTGATTTTGAGGGTCAGATTTGGATACCTGTTATCCAAACTCCAATCCTCTTTAGGAACAGCATGATTTCTAAGCACAGAGTCATCTATCTGGCCCCTTACAACTTTCCTCTTAACCATACTTGTTTATGGCAATAGAATTTCCAAAAGCAATTTATCTCAAACATATCCAAACATTGTCTATAATTTAGCAGAATTTCATCTTGCTTTATGAATATATGTTTTGTTTCTTCCTGAATAACATACAAAATTGCATCCATATGCCATAAAACAAAAAAGGTGACACTGCATGTATTTTAAGATGTCTATAGAACAAAATGGGAAAGGACATATTAAAGATAAGAGGCATGAGGCTTACAGAAGAAAATGTACTTTATTTTTCTGTTAAGTACAAGAGAACAGTGGCTTCCAAGTTCACAGTGTATCAACAATGAGTCTTTATAAGCACTGACTGCTGCTGCACCAGTTCCCCAAATGGTCTCTGATTGCCACAATTATCAGCCCTGCTTTGTAGAAGAGGAGATGGAAGTATGTTGAGCCTAACTCATTTTAACATGGGAGATGAGATAGAAAGCAGTAGAAGAGAGGTTTGGCTTGGATGTTTGCTTTGGAGCCCACAAGTCACCATTGCCTCCAGGAAGAAGCACTTCCATGTGCAAGAGAAACGTAAGAAAAAAGTAAATCAGCCCACAGCTGCTGAGATGAATGACCCGACTGATCAGAGTTCTCCATTAGTGTCTTGCTTTTTCTTGCTTTGATTCCTGAATATGGTCCTTGCGTGTGCCCTTCTACCTAAAATTTCAACCACAGAGACTTGATTTTTCATAAGATGTCTAGAATGTCCATTTAACCACTAGTAAATCACAATGTAAAATATCATATCATTCTTGGTTGTAATATGTTCATATATATTTTGAAAAGTTGTGAAAAGCTGGAAAGCATTAATAAAATGTTTGCTGAGAATGGATACAACAGAGGCATGATAGAATCCTACACGCGGTTAGTAACTATGACAGGTAGGGTTCTCTAATCACCCCCCACCCCTGTTACATGTAAAGATCTAACATTTTTCTAAGAAGGAATGCATAGTCAAATATGTATACAATGGATTCCCTACTGTTACTATTTTTTGTATCATTGTTTTAATGACTGATTAAGGGTCATTTACTTAGGCAACTTGTATTTACTGGGCACTCACTTTGTACCAGCCACTGTTCTATTTGCTGGAGAAGCAGGCTAGAAATACCCCAATTTAGAGTTAGGATTTAGACTAACTTTGGGGGTTATCATTTTCTCTATCATTCCTATCTTAATTCAAGACTTCAGTATCAACTGGCTCAATTAAGACAATTTTGAGGAAACTTCTAAGCTCCATAGAAATGTTGGGGTTTTGTTTTTTGCATGTTACAATTTCAAGAACACATATAACAAAATACAACACAGACTGTATTGAAAGATATTAGCAACTTCCTGTTGGATTATTTCAAAATCTAAGTTGCTATAATACTCAGAGAGGAATGCTATTTTAAAATAAATTGAAAAATGAGTGCATGTTGCTTGTCTTCTAAGCATCTCTGAGGGTAAGTTTATATAGGACCATTTATTCTGCTCTCTCCTACAAGAGTCAGCTCTGAATGCTAAATATAGACAGGCAATGAAGAAACATGAGTGGTTGTGGGAGAATGAGCTTCTTTGGTACACAGGGCCGGAGCATCAACAGTGATAGGGCATGTAATACCCCACCTCACAGGAATCCTCCACTATGATCCGACCCTAGACTCATGACAAAGTCTCCAAGAGGAGTAAAAATAATTAATATGTGTTCTATAACAAAATCACAGGGCTTGAAATCCAAATTCCCAGTTCATCTATCACATAAATTTTAAGATGTTCACATTGTGTCTGTCACAGCATAGGGCGAATCATGCACACCTGACTGAGGAAAGTTGCATTCTTTCCACAGAAGTAAAGTGACAATAAAGAACTTTTACAATGAACTAGGAAAGTCTATAAAACAAAGGAAAATTTTCTTAGAATATCATCTTCAATTAGACTAAGTTTTAGGAAGCCTCCAATTTCTCTCTCATAAAAGATTTTTAGAAGAATGAAATTTTATGCCATGGTCTTTCATATTAATTAATCGATTTGGCATGAAAAATGTTTATTTTACCTCACTTCTTACAGTCCATCATGAAGAAAAATTATGACAGGGACTCAGAGCAGGAATTTGGAGACAGGAACTGAAGCAGAGATCATTGAGGATTAGCTTGCTCATCCTGCTTGATTTCTTCCTATATTTATTGATGCACAATTTCTTTTTCTTCTTTTTAACAACAAAATATAATAAGATAAAACAAAAACCATCACATTGAAGTTGGATAGGGAAAACCAACAGAAGGAAAAGTACCCTAAGAGAAGACACAAAATCAGAGAACCACTCAGGAGTCCCAGAAAAACACTGAACCGAAAGCTATAATACATATGCACAGGACTTGTGAAGACCAGTGTATGCCCCGTGCTTGCTGCTTTAGTCTCTGTGAGTTCATATGAGCCTTACTCAGGTGATTTGGAGGGCCTTGTTCTCCTGCTATCCTCTCTGGCTCCTATACTTCTCCTTTTTTTCTCCGGGTTTCTTAAACTCTGAAGGGAGGGGTTTGATGAATTATATTTTTAATCTCTTTTAAGATGAAAAATTTGTCCATTTATTTATTTATTTTTACTTCTTAATGATTAGGTTTTATTATGTATCCCTGTATGGCCTGGTTTCTCCTTTGTATACCAGCATGGCCTAGAACTCATTGAGTTCCCCTTGCCTCTGAATCCTGAGTTCTGGGAATAAAGGTGAATGCCACCTAGGCCTGGTAACTCTCCTAAGGTTATAACCTTATACTCACTGATAAGTGTAGTCTTCACCCATTATCAAGAAAACTCTCTGCAGCGAGACAATTATAGAAAAATACAGCCAATCAAAATGGAAAGTTGTGGAACCCAGTCCCAATGGAACACTTCCACACCTAAGGCTCAGGGATCATTGTAGGAGAAGGGCAGAAAGACTGTAAAACACAGAGTATCAGTGAGGTGGTATCCTAGTAACAACAGAATATATACACATAAAATTTCACCAACATGACTGCTCAGATGGGAACTCAACAAGGATGACCATGAACATTGACAATGCCAAACTGGACACAGATAAGTTCACGAGGCCTTAAGCCGACACAGAGAACTACAGGTAACTAAGTAAAGCTGGGATCAGGAGAGGTGCTCATCTCTAGGGAAGAGCACAATAATTAGTTGTCCTGTGCCAAATGGTCAGCCCTGAAAATACACATCTATTGGTAGTGTATGGACCAAATAGGTAATATTTAGGAATGAAAATATGTAGCCAATATGAATTAATAAAAAAATATAGAGGGCATGAATTTGAAAGAGAGTAGTGAAGGGTATTTGGGAGTATCTGGGTGGAGGGGGGGAAGAAAAGGGAAAAGAGAAATGTAATTAAATTATAATCTCAAAAACAAAATAAAAAGGGGAAGACTGATTTTGAATTTAGCCTCTTTTACCATTTTATATCACACAGATATTAGATTTGTACCTTGTTGTATGGTTCTAATCTTACATGAATTTTAATGAGTTGTTTGAAGTTTATTTTGTCAAAGTTATACAATGTTTATTTTTTATAGGCTACAGATAATTCTTTAAACTTTTTTTTTAAACACTATTTTTTTTTGCTTAACCTTTTTGGTGTCCTTATCTGTTTATTTATATTTTCTAGAAATGAATTTTATGTTGAAGCTTATCAGTACTATTCTTTTGATTAAAAAGCTGGGAATGAGGTTAAAGTTCAGCTAAAGCTTGCAGACAGCAAAGAGACGATTCTTTCTCAGAAAAAAAATTAAGATTTTCCCCACAAGGTAATACTTGTGCATATCTGAAGACTTCTGTTTGTAATGTTTGTAATTCATTATAAAAGAAGCTAATTGTTATTGAAAAGCATTCAATATTAAAGAGACTTGACTGTGGTTGTGTGTATCATGAGACAGGAAAAGATATGAGCACCTTTACACAGATACTAATGTACTCTCTTCCTCTGGTTGGTTGCTGCACCTTTCAGCTTATGCACACCTGCTGAAAATGGGCTGGCAGAGGAAAGAGATTAGAGATTTCAAACACTTTCACCTTGACCCCCAAGTTCCATTTATTTGGCTATTGATAGATCTGAAGGAAATTTATTCTCCCTGATACCTGCCTGCCCTGCTTGTTTTTTTTTTTTTTTTTTTTAGCTCTTGAAGATAGAGTTGTTAGTCTGTGTCCTATCTTGGAATATGTTAAATTGTGTATATGGAAATAATCTCATAATTACCAGGGACATGTCCCTAAATCAAGCCCTATTCCAAAAGAACTTGAAAGTATTGCTAAGAGTAATGAAACAAAGAAATCAGCTATCTCAACCTTTTCTTGTGGATAGATTCTCTCTGCTTTACACAAGTTTTTTTTTTCACATCTTTTTAGAAGAGCATCCCTCAAGAAACAGAGCATGGAGAGCATAATTTACCCATTCTGGATGACTCAGACCTATCATAATGAACCCTGGTTAGTGTACTCCACTGTATTAGAAAGATGCCCTTAAGAATCATTAAGGTATGCAGTACTGTTTGCCCTGACTAACTGACTGCTCCCAAGTGATGTAAATGTTCCAGAATGCAGTCACTCCTCAGCACAGTGTATACTGATTAAAAAACATGTCTTGAAGACTGCAGGGAGATATGTGTTGGGCTAGATCAAAACAGTCAGTTATTTACCTGTCTCTGTTATTTGAAGGTAAGAAATCTAAACTTTTATCTATCTCATAAAGCTCAAGTCAAATGCAGGGAGGGTCCACATGATCATTATAAGAAAAATGGACATGCAGGCACATTTATTGTTCATAATTTAAGTGGTTGGTGATAGACATTCACTATCCCCACCCCAAATTCTTAATCTTAATTAGAAACCCAATTCTTCTTAGTCACAATATCTGAACAGTATTTGCCGCAGAATCATCAGGGAATTCTTGGCTTCATGTTACAAATGCAAAACTCATGGGGAGGCTTAAACATCTGTCATTTGTTATGATGAGAGACATTAATTGAGTCATTCTAATCTTCATCTTCCTACAGCACTGTAAATTTAGATGGATGGTAAATATTAAGGAAAATGAAAGGTAAGTTTGAAGATTCAAGCAGTTACGGTAGGGGGTTATTTTAGGAAGTGTATTCATTAGCAGTCTGTTTCATAAAACAGAAACATTGTCTATGAAGACAATGAGTTGTAGAATCTCAGAAGGAGAGGAGAGATGGACAAAGGCAGAATCCTGGTGAAGTTTATTTCATTTCCTTGTCATTAACCTTTGAACAGTGATCATATGTCACTATATATATATATATATATATATATATATATATATATATATATATATATATATATAACTCATTTTAGAAAACATTGATGTTTGGCCATCCCATCACCAGAGTAGGTAAGTCCCGGCTGTCTCTTGACCATTGCCAGCAGTCTTTTGTGGGGGTATCTTTGTGGATTTCTGTGGGCCTCTTTAGCACTTTGTTTCTTCCTTTTCTCATGTGGTCTTCATTTACCATGGTCTCCTATTCCTTGTTCTCCCTCTCTGTTCTTGATCCAGCTGGGATCTCCTGCTCTCTTTTCCTCAACCCTCGCCCTTCATTGTTCCTACTCATGTCCAGGCTGTTCATGTAGATTTCACCCATTTCTCCGTCATTGGGTGATCCCCATGTCTTTCTTGGGGTCCTGTTTTCCAGGTAGCCTCACTGGTGATGTGAGTAACAGTCCAGTCATCCTTGTTCCACATCTAGTATCCTCCTATGAGTGAGTACATACCATATTTGTCTTTCTGAGTCTGGGTTACCTCACTCAGGATGATTTTTTCTAGATGCATCCATTTGCCTGCAAACCTCATGATGTCATTGTTTTTCTCTGCTGAGTAGTATTCCATTGTGTATATGTGCCACAATTTATTTATCCATTCTTCAGTTGAAGGGCATCTAGTTGCGCCAGAAACCCCATCCAAGGACTGAGGAATCTGGATGCAGACATCCACGGCTAGGCCCCAGGTGGAGCACTGGGAGTCTAATTAGTGAGAAAAAGGAGGGTTTATATGAACAAGAATTGTTGAAACCAAGGTTGGATAAAGCACAGGGACAAATAGCCAAACGAATGGAAACACATGAACTATGAACCAAAGGCTGAGGGGCCCCCAACTGGATCAGGCCCTCTGAATAGGTGACACAGTTGATTGGCTTGATCTGTTTGGGAGGCATCTAGGCAGTGGTACCATGTCTTGGGCTCGTTGCATGAGTTAGCTGTTTGAAACCTGGGACTTATGCAGGGATGCTTGGCTCAATCTGGGAGGGGACTGGACCTGCCTGGACTGAGTCTATCAGGTTGATCTCAGTCCTTGGGGGAGACCTTGATCTGGAGGAGGTGGGAATGGGGAGTGGACTGGGGGAAAGGTGAGGGGGGAAGGAAGGGAGAGAACAAGGGATCTGTGGCTGTTATGTAGAACTGAATAGTATTGTAAAATAAAAAAAAAGTAAATTAAAAAACAAGAAAACATTGATGTATTGCAATTGAAGGAGTAGATCACTTTTGAATATACTGATTTGTTCTTTAAGTAAATTTTTTTATCTTTTTATTTTTGAGATAATTACACCTCCCTTCCCTTTACTCCCTCCAACCATTCCCACACAGCACTGTTTGTTCCCTTTCAAAGTCATGGCTTTCTTTTCAGTAATTGTTACTAACTGCATGTATGTACATGCATATACCAATATATTCCTAAATACAACCTGCTCAGCTTGTATAATGTTCATGTATTTATATTGTCAGGCTGACAATTTAGTATTAGATAGCCAATTAGTGATATTTTCCCTGGGGAATATATTTCTCCTGCTCTCAACACTCTGCCTGTAGTTCTTTGTGTAGGGTTGAGGACTCATAGGCTTCTTGCCCTTCCATTTTGGCAAGTCTGTTGGCATAGTCCTTGCTGAGGACTTGTTTAGACAGTTATGTTGATGAGACTTGATGGGCATAGCTTCTGAGTTTACTAGGAGATAAAATCTCAAATCAAATTTCTTGATCTTCTGGCTTTTAACACCGTTCTGTACTGTCTTTTGCAATGTTCCCTGAAATTTAGATTTTGGAATGCTTTGTAGATATATCTCATTATTCAGTAATAACTCAGGTTTCCAACTAAAGACATTTTACTTGGAATTTCTACATGGGATTTTTATGAAGACGTAATATTTGTACGTCTTTATGGAGTATGCTCTAGTAATTAAACATAAGCATAAAATGTATAATAATCAAATAGGAGTAGTAAACATTTTTATCTCTAAAATTTACTTATTTCATGTGTTGAACATTTCACTTTCTAGACATTTGGGAATCTATCAGAGATTGTTTGATCCTACATCCATTCAACTGTGCCCGAGAAAAGCTAGAGCTAATTTTTCCCTTCCCGTGATTTGGAATCCCTTACTGAACTTCTTTCTACACCCTCCTTTCCACTCCCTCAACTTTACTCTTCTATTCCACTCTGCTATAAGACTGGTTTGCTAATTTTGGCCCAGCAATATGGGTCAACCCATAAAGAAGTCTGACAGCTTGAATATGATCCCTGAACTTAACATGTAGGAAAGAGAACTGACTCCATCAAGTTGTATTTCAGTTTCCACACATGTATACATGAAACATGTACATAGAAGAGTAATTTGTAGCTTCATATATATTTTATTAATTAAAACAGTTTTTTAATTCAAATTTATTTTGATCATATTCTTCCCCTTCCACCAGTCCTTCTAGATCCTCTCCCTCTCCCCACTCACCCAACTTTAAGTTCTTTCTCAAAAAACAAACAAAAGCCCAATACAACAACAACAACAACAACATCCAAAAACAGAAAAAAAAAACCAGATCAAACCCAACACAAAAAGAAAAACAACACAACCAAACTGTGACCAAATAAAAACACACACAAAAAGTCCTGTGGAGTCCATTATGTTGATCAGCTATTCCTGAACATGAGGCCCATCCTTGAGTGGTTGATATACCCAGTTGGTTTTCTCTTTCCCAGCATGTATAAGTGACAGTTCAGTTGTTAGCCTTTAACCGTAAGTGGCTAGGTTTTTGTTCACTAATTCATTTAAAAAAATATGTAACAAAATAAAATATAATAAGATAAAATAAAACAAAAACTGTCACATTGAAGGTTGATAAGACAAACCAACATAAGGAAAACAGCCCAAGAGAAGACACAAGAATCAGAGACCTACTCATTTGCACACTCCAGAATCCCATAAAAACATTAAAGTGGAAGCCATTATATAGGCACAGAGGACCTGGTGCAGACCTGTAAAGACCCTATACATGCTGCTTCAGTCTCTGTTCTTGTTAGCTTTGATCATGTTGATGTAGAGGGCCTTGTTTTCTTGGTGTCCTCCATCCCCTCTGGCTCTTAAACTCTTTCTGCCTTCTCTTCTGTGGGGTTCCTTGAACTCCGAGGGGAGGGTTTTGATGAAAATATTCCATTTGGTGCTGAGTGTTATAAGGTCTATCACTTTTGATGTAATGTCTGGTTGTGGGTTTCTTTATTTGTTCTCATTTGATACAGGAGGAAGTGTCTGATGATGACAGAATACAGCACTAATGTATGAGTATAACAGAATATCATTAGGAGTCAGTTTAATGATACATCTTTTTTTTTTTTTAAATGTTTTTAGACCAGTGTTATTTGGTTTTATTTCTAGATACCTACGCAATCCATTCTCATGTTCTTGGTCACTCAAGCAGTGTCATGTGTGGCTTCCATCTCTTGCAGTGGATCTTAAGTCAAAACCATCACTGGTTGGGAGGGACTAGAAGGAACAGATAGGTCTCATTAGAAAAGGGAAATAGAATACACATCTATGGATGGATGTAGGGGCTGGAATGGAAGAATCAAGTGAGGAGAGGGAGGAGGGAGGCGATTGTAGGAGGGACTGTGGAGGGAGACAGTTAAAATTAAGGAGCATTTGAGATGTAGATGGAAACCTAATACAGTAGAAACTTCCCAAAATATATACCTATATGAAGGGAATCTAAATGAAATCACTAAATACTGGAGGAGACAGAATCCACCTGGCTATCTCTTGTCATCAAACAAAGCTTCTAATACTACATCTAATTGATTTGTGGGCAAAGGGACAACATGGGAATCTCCAAACAATACAGGCTGTTGCCAAGACTATAGATTTCTCTCCACAAACTGACAGCAAGGCCCTATTATTGAATTGAAGATGTAGATGTTGAGCTGGTGCCTACATAGAGGTTTCACCCCTATGTTCCAGTGTCTTTGATACAAGAAGGGACTTGGCACACTCTCAAAAGAGAAACGTAAACACCAAGCCAGCCCCAAGCCTTTTGTCTACAATGAAGTACTGCCAGAAAGATATGCTAATGGTGGCACAAAGCTTGTGAGAGTAACCAATCAAAAAAGTAATGTAAAAAAAGTTGAAAGTGTATGAATTTCCACAAAGAAGTAAAAACACGTGGCATTTGTCATTCTTTGTTTGTCAGATTCCACTTAGTTTAATGACGTCCCATCTTATTTGTGTTCTTGCAAATGTTGAGATTTCTTTCATTTTTTGTCAATAATAATTATAAATACACATGCATAGTTTTATATTTTCTTATCCATAAGTGCACACCAGAATTTACTCCATATTCCTGCTCTTATGAATAGTGCTGCAATAATATTTAGTATGTTTCTTTTTAGGATAGTGACTTCTCATAGTGGAATTGCTAGATCATTGCTAATTCTCTGTTGTTGAGGATTTTTCATATTGTTTTCCATCATGTTTGTGGTGGCTTATATTCCTACCCACTTCCCAAAATTCCTACCCACTTCCCAAGAGCCCTCACCTCTCCACACCCTGGTCTGCATTCATTGATCTTGTCTTTTGGGTGGTATCTTCTGGGGTGAAATATCTCATTTTGGTTTCAACATTCGTTTCCCTGATGATTAATGAGAATGTATATAGTTTTAATTTTTTTGTTGGTCATTTGTGTGTTTCCCTCTCAGAAATGCCTGCCTAATTCTTTAGCCTGTTTTAAATTGGATTATTCGCTTCTTTGGTGTTTAGCGGTATCTTAGTCACTGTTCTATTACTATGAACAGACTCCATGATCATGGGAACTTTTGTAAAAGAAATCTTTTATCTGAGGACTTGCTTACAGTTTTTGAGGGTTATTTATGAACATATGAGCCTATGAGGACCATATTTATCCAAGCCATCACAAACATCTTTAATTCATTATAATTTTTGGACATTATTCTTTACGATAAATAATTTGCTTTTGTCGCCTGTACCTTTGGTGACCTGACTAGGAACAGACTCATTATACATAGCAGTGTCTTGAAGTGGTTGTCTTATGTCTCTTTATAGTAATTTAATAGGTTCCCATTTTACATTAGGTCTTTGAAGAACTTTGAGGTTATTTTTGGACAGAGAAAGGAAGAGCTCTGTTTTCCCAGCTTTAAGATATTTTCTTTTTTTATACACTGTGTTTTTAGCCAAACATCGATTGGCTGTATGAGTGTGGATTAATTTCTGATTTCTGCTTGCTGTCCCATTGATCTATCTGTTTTTATGTCAGTACCATGTTGCTTTGGCAACTAGAACTTTGTGGCATATTTTGAAAAAAATATAATGTGATGTCTCTGGCTTTGTCTCTATTTGTTATACATCCATTCATTTATTTAGTTTTTTTACTAATTAGTTCATGTATTCCTCAGAATCACCTTGGACATGAAGAATGTGTTTATTATTATGTGATTGGAATTTTGAGATTAAATTTTATGGTTACCCTCTGTAGTTCTTCTTTCACAAACATACAATATTTAAGTGGTCAGTCCTCTATATTCTAATTGAGTACCTTCATAAGCCTTTCCAATTACTTTTTTTCCTTAATGGCTATTTTACTGGTTAGAAATGGATATTATGGAGGGAGGGGAAACTGTGGTCAGCATGTAAAATAAATGAAAAGTTGCTATTTAAATAAAAAATAAAATATAGTGAAGTTTCATGTAAAAATAGATATTATAATATCAGATACTTCATGAACTTCAACTATGCCAAGAAGAAATAGTTTTATCCACTAATATCATAAAATATCTTGGAAATAACATCAGTGAGAACAGATGACTGAGAGCTCAGTTCAACAAGATTTTATATTTGTGTGATAATTTATAATTGTAAAGCTGGATTTCTAATGTGTATATTTTTATATTTATATAATTCTGTGGTTTTGGAAAGAATAATTATATTCCTATTTCACTGGAGAATGTAAAGCCCAAGGTATCATGTTTTATTATTGGTGACACAAACATTACATTATGCATGTATGACTGTTATTTAGTTCTTGGTTTTGGAAAAGTGATGTTTTTACTAAGGCATTTAAATCTATGCCTAGAGTGCACTATTACTCTTAAAGTCACCCTCATGACTCTGTTACTATAAAGCTTTAAATACGAAGAGAACAGTCCAATACAATATACTCAATGTGTACAAAAGAAGAAAGGGAAGATTTTTATCTGGTATTAAAAACACAAATGAGTTTCACTACTCTAAGTCGCTAATTAGTTGAAAAATTTAGATCATTTCTATTGACTCATATAGTAACAGAAATAAAATCATTACTCTTGTCTTTCATGGATTACCTCTGTGTTTATTTACTATTTATACTTGTTTTTTTTTCAGTCTTTTTCTGCTAACTATTTTTTAACAATGGCTATAACTGTTGGACAAATATTATTAAATACAAATGTCTATCTAGTACTCATTTACATTCTATATTCATAATATAACTTCTTCAAAGAATATAATCAAACATCTCGTACTTTTGGTGCAATTAGATATCCCCCAACTTGAATAATAATCAAAAACAAATCCAAATACACACTATCTACACAAAAACACTGGCAGAAATAAATAACAACAAAAATCCAAAATGGTATAAAGAGGTTGAAAGTAATATGAGGTCACATCTGGCACAAGAGGCTGTGTGTGCTGCTGCCAACCTGTGAACCCAGCAGGTGAACTGTGGCCTGCAGGCTGGCTTTGGCTGTAGAGCAAGATCATGTGTCAATACTCAAAAATCAAACTAAACCCAAACAAAACAGAAAATTCTACCAAATAGAAGAGGCAAAAATAAAAGAATACAAACAGAAAACAAGGCAAAGTTTGTCTTTATAATAAGTATCTTAGTAATATTAAACTCTCAAGGAACAGACATTTTCATGTTTTGCATATTGATCTTAGAGTTGAACTGACAAACTGTGGCCCATGTGTTGGCTCTTTCTTCTAGTAAACAAAATGTAGATGGAGTTCAGGGACATCTCTCTCTCTCTCTCTCTCTCTCTCTCTCTCTCTATATATATATATATATATATATATATATATATATATATATATATATATATATGTAGCTAGAGTTTTCCGCCTTGCCCACAGTCAGGACAAATCTCTGTCACCCGCCAGTCCCACAGCCACTCAGACCCAACCAAGTAAACACAGAGACTTATATTGCTTACAAACTGTATGGCCGTGGCAGGCTTCTTGCTAACTGTTCTTATAGCTTAAATGAATCCATTTGCATAAATCTACACCTTGCCACGTGGCTGGTGGCTTACCGGCATCTTCACATGCTGCTGGTCATGGCGGCGGCTGCAGTGTCTCTCCGCCTCAGCCTTCCCAGAATTCTCCTCTCTCCTTGTCCCACCTACTTCCTGCCTGGCCACTGGCCAACCAGTGTTTTATTTATTGACCAATCAGAGCAATTTGACATACAGACCGTCCCACAGCATATATATATATATATATATATATATATATATATATATATATATATATATATTCTGCCTTAGCTCTCTTGTTGGATGGATTCTGAGTTATTAGAAAGAGATAAAGATCACATGCACTATAAGTTAAATGCTTACTTGGGCAGTAGATGGTCCTACTGTTCTTTAAGAGGACCTGAGTTATTTTGTTGTCCACACTAACAGCATCTACAGTAATCACGACTGAGATTACGACTGAAGGGACAAAGCTGGTGAGGATCCATAGAAAGTCAAGTGAGAAATGTGGTAAATGTGGTCTAATTAAGTTATACAACAGAAGCAGTTAAAATGCACAAAACGTATTAATGTATGAATTAAATTATGTCAGAAAATAAATACACTAAAATTATAAGTGTATAATATTGACTTTAGGAAAGGAATTTATAAAATGTGGCAGAAGCAGAAGACAGGCTCTGGGAGGTCTGAGGATGGAGGTGACAGGGAGAGTGGTGAGGATCCTCTGGTATTTGCACAGGCAGAGGCAAAGTTCAGGAAGTCAAGGAGTGTGTGGCTATCTACGAGGTGGGACATCCAGGGGCAACTTGGGAGAAGAATGGCATCTGTTGCTTGCACAGAAGCCCTCGCGTGTTCCAAAACAGTCAGCCCTGGAGCAATGGCTGTGCCTTTTGTTGGGTTCCTCCCCTGTGGCTTTGTGGCTGTTGATATAGTCCTAGGTAGTAGTTAATGGGCGGTTGAAATGATGATTAGAGGAAAGCATCAAGACAGACTGTGCCTCTCAAGGAGATCCTCACCCACACTGTCTAACATGTTCATTAGGTAAATAATGGTCACTTTATCCACATTTCCTGTATTTGCAAGTTTAGTAACATGAAGAGACATGCCATGTGTATTTCCAGCCTTATTTGGGAACAATCATCTAGTCTGACAACAAACAATCCAAAATAGTCATCAACATAATGGAATGTGTAAGAAAAGAGTTCTTCTGGGAAGGAAAAATTCTGGTCCTGATGAATTTGCTGCCTATTCATATTAAATATTTTAGAAGATCTGAGAACAATATCACAAAAACTAAAAACAAAACAAAACAAAACAAAAAAACCCAAAGGACATGTCTCAGTTCATTTTATGAGACACAGTTCTGATACCCATACCGAACATAAACATAGGAAAAACAAGTAAAGAAACAGAAACAAATAAACAGTCCATTACTATACTATTACTATACATACTAGGAATACGGGCATAAAAATATTTAGTCTATCAGTCAGTTGAATCCAGTACCATTTACAAAGAATAACACTTCAGGTCCACGAAAGGTTTATCCTAGAAGAATAAAACTGTTCTAGCTTCCTACTTATAAATATAGTGGTATAGTTTACCATATTAACAAAGCAAAGAAGAAAATTAATTAATTAATTTTACTTGTGTGTGTGCACATGTTCGTGTACACACATGGATGCATGTGAATGCAGGTTCCCTTAGAGGACAGACAGCATTGTATCTCCTGGTGTTCGAGTAACAGGTGGTTGTGAATGGCTTGATGTAGGTGCTGGGAACTGAACTTGGATCCTCTGCAAGGGCAGTATACACTCGGAATTGCTGAGGCATCTCTGTAGCCCTGAAAGGAAATTCATATGATCAACTCGAATGCAGAAAGACATTTATCAGATTTGACTTACTGTGTAAGCAAAACAGAACAAATACCAGACAAGTAAGAATATGGCGAGTTTCTCAACCCTGTAAAGAACATTTATACAAGTTCCTCACTGACTCCTCACCACTGTTTATGTAACACCAGACTGAAGTCATCCTCGGGGAAAAGAGAGGAAGAAATAAGTTGCACAAATACAGATCGGAGTGGGAAGGCAAGACTGTCTGTGTATTTCATTGTATGCTACAGAAATTCTAAGAAACATATATTATCATCAGGACTAATACTTTGATAAGGTTCTACACTGTAAAATCACCATGAAATCAATCCAATTGCCCTATATTTATTATTACCCTTTGAAGATCAAATAAAATGCTATTTGTAAAAGTGGTAGAAATGTTCTGAATTTAATGGCATGCAATATTTGAATGAGTTGTACATTGTAAACTTAAAATCACTGATGAGAGGATGAGAGGAACTTAATATGACTTGAAATATTGGAGAAATACACCACTTTAATAAATTAGAAGAATCAGTATTTTTCAGTTGTCCCAGTTTCAAATAATGTATAGAAGCAAAGCAACTCCACTCACACTTTCAGGGAGCTTTCTGTACAAATGGCCAAGATGAAAATAACGTATATAAAGTGAAAAAGACCACGGATAACCAAAACACTTTTAAGAAACATGTAATATGAGAGAAAAAAGTCACTTGCTCATATCATCAAAAGGACAGACAAATAGTTTGTGGAAATTGACATTGAATAAATATAAATTCTCAACATCTAATTAATTAGTTCGTCTATCTGTTCTTGAGGTGTGATATGTGGAGGGAGAGGCAACACTCACCATCCTGCACATGTGAAAGTCAGAGAGAAAACATCAGGAGTCTGCTCCTTCCTCTATCTTGTTGAAACAGTGTCTTAGGGACCAAACACTACTCCTGAAGCCAAGACAAAGCTACAAATGCCTTAGCCCATCTCACCCTAGATTGAGATACTAAATTTGATCTGGAGTAGAGCATGAACACAGGATGCTGAGAAGCCTGCTGAGATGGTGGGCTAAAGACCTTGTTGGCAGTGTGCATCCTGGAATGTCAAGGGAAGCTGTCTTACCTCCCAGAATTCTGTGCTGCAACACATTGCTCCAACAACATCCAGAATACTTGTCAGGGAAAGGATCAGTCAGTAGCAGTGGTTCTCAACATTTCTAATGCTGAGAACCCTTTAATAAGTTCCTCATGTTTTGGTGATTCCCCAACCATAAAATTGTTTTCATTGCTACTTCCTAACTGTAATTTTGCTACTGTTACAAATCATAATGTAAATAGCTGATATGCAGGATATCTGATATATGACCCCTGTGAAAGAGGTCCAGATCTACAGGCAGAGAACTGCTGGTTTATAGGAAGGTGTGATGTGGTCACTGCCAGTGGGTGCTGCAAAAAATGTGTGCTCGTTGAGAGTTATAGGAGAGGCCCATACCCCTGCTAGGGATGACCTTTCCTTCCATAATACCTTCTAATGATAAGTTGGACAGCTGACACAGCAGCCATGTCATGCATGCATAGATATTTATCTAAGAGGAGCAAAAAGAAGGCTCTAAAAGGTGACTTAAAGAAATAATATTTCTTTCAGTAACTTAATGTTTAATGATCCCAAACCAGAGATGCCATATTATAAGAAACTACATAGAAATTAAAGAAAACAAAATTCTGATAATAATATGCATAAATCCCAAAATACTATGTTTGAGCCACAATTTCCAGATCTCGTGTGTGTGTGTGTGTGTGTGTGTGTGTGTGTGTGTGTGTGTGTGTGTGTGTGTACTGGATATCTGATGTGGTATTTGTGGTATTTGATACACTTTTAAAGTGCAGAAGAGGCAGAATTTATCTACAGTGAACATGAGTAAAATGAATTAGTTATTTACTGAGTGAGGAAAGACTGTAGAAAGGACAGGATTTGGGGCAAAGTTGAGAAAAATACCTAAAGATGTGACATCTGCCTACGAGGGTATCCTGAGTGAGAGCCAGGAAGGAGGTGAAGGAAGAATTTAGTGATTGGTTTGGCTACATATCTGAGTTATTTTAGGAAAATACATTTGTTTGATTTTGATGGGACCAGAAATGGTAGTAATAGATTTTGAGAAGTCTTACGTTTTCTTTCTTTAGCAACTCTTTCTGAGGAAAGAATGTATGTGGGTGTAAAACCTGTACATGACTATTTTTGCCCATCAAAAATTGATTAAAAACAGTGTAGTACTTATGACAAAGTAACTTCAACAAGTATTTTATTATTTAATGAAAATATTTATCTTTCCAAGGGCAGAGTTCAAGCCACATAGCATCTTGATAGCTAGTGAATATCATAGATCATTGTCCCTTATGAGGCTTTCCTCTAGATTTCCTCATGGATATGGTGAGGTACTTCTCTTACTTTGCACATTTGGAATCTACTTGTCTCATCCAGAGCCTTAAACAGAGATCTTCTCCCGGAGCAGGTTTCTTGTTTAATGATCTGTAAGTGAAGCTGTTATTGCTTCCTTGCCTCCCATTTATGAGCATCATTATTTCTCACAGTGGGTTGTCTTTGTCAGACAATAAAGGTAGAAAAAGTTTTTCAGCTTGTCAGGGGTTTATTGATATAAATGAGAGAGAGGTTGGGCCAAAATTAATGACAGTAGTTTTCCATGTAGGATACAAGGAACGATTTTTTAAAAAATGATGGCTCTTTTAAAGATATATGGGGCTTCCTCATAACAGTGTCTTTGTCCTATTACTGAACTCTAGATTTGAAGGGCAGATGCTCATTTACTATGCTTTTATGCCATGTCTAAGAAAAGAGATAAAAATTGGTTGCAGAAATAAGAAAAGATCACTTAACAGTGAAATTCAGCATTTAAAGGGTGCTATAGGCACTAGTCTGTGATTATCAAAACACATTATTTGAATTTAAGGAATCTTTTGTTCATTATCAAAATGATCCAGGACAGAAGGCACAGACAAGATGAAATGAATGATTCTCAGAAACCAATCAGGTTGGTATTGTTGGTGGTAATTGTAGTAAATACACAATTTGAAGTCTTATTGCTCCCTTGTCTCTCATCAGTAAAGAGGAAGGAAATTGAAACTGCACAAAGCATAAGTTTATTTGATATCTCACATTTTTAAAAGCCCCTTTGGAGTAATTTTGATAATGATAACCAAGTTTCTCTAATTGGAGTACAATCACCACTTATACAGATAATTAGTCTGAGAAATATTGTTGATATTTGAGTTGTAGCCAGAAATATTGTCTGGAAAAGCCACATGTCTGCTCTCCGAGAATATCTGTCCTCACTGGCATCTTCAATGAGTCCATGACCTACAGTCATACTTCTCAGTGTTACTCAGATGATCAAATTCTTCATTGTTTACTTTAGAGCCCAAGCTTTCTATTTTTACAGATAAACTTTCTTATCTAGTTTATAATGACTTGACAGTTTTCAGAATGAGAAAAAAGGAGAATGAAATTAGATTCAATGCATTATTGGTGGAAATGTCACTTTAGAAAATAGAGTTAGATTTAAACCAAGGGTAGATTTAGTAACGGGAAGAGAAAGTAAGTTTAAGTGGGAAAGCAGTTACATTGCCTCTCCATCAGCTCTGACTTCTTTCAGAGGTCCTAGGAACTGACTGCACTCAGAACATTGAGCACTGGTACCACCACTAAGAATTCTGACACTCTGAAGGAGCTAAGACAATAAAGTCAATATTCATTTCTTGACATTGCTTTCCATTGCTTAGCATTCACTCTGAATTTTCTTAACAGTGTTAGCAAATGTGCTCATAAAACTTGTAGGGTGTTGGAGAGTCCTGCTTTGATGACTCACATAAAATCTATGGGGGCTCCCCTTCCCTGCATGCTGTATGGCTAGGGAGTTCAGGCTTCAAAAGAATTACATTTTAATAAAGGCAAACACCTTGGGTTTTGTTTTTTCTTTTCTTTTTTTTTTTTTTTTGAACTTTTGCTCAACCAATGCAATTAATCAGTTACATATTAAAATATATTGGGTGTCCAATTCTTTTATAAAATTAACTAAACCATTTAAGAAGCAAATCTGTTGCTAAATTTAATAAATAGTATCCAAGTTTTCCTTAGGAAGCATATAAATCAAGGGGTCAGTTTCCTAAGTTTTATGCACTGAAATTGTGTATGGGCAAAAGTCCTATGAAACAGGTCACACACCACACATATTAGGAGTAAGATGGCTTTCATTAGCTTCCAGGGGTCTCTGGCATATGCTTGGAAATCTAATTTCCTTATTGAGATTGCTTATCAATGTCAAAATACCAAGCATTTGTTCTTGCCAACAAGACAGTGAGGAAAGAGAAGCAGTGCTTGATTTTTCTGTGTTTTGTAGAAAAAGAAGCTCTGAGTTCTGGCCTAGGTTAGTTTTCCCAAATGAAATCACATATCAATGCTTTGCTTTCACACCAGGAAGCTGTATTGATTAATGAAACGCTTCAAGAATTTTTGGAAAATTGAATGTCCAGAGAGTTTTAATCTTAAATGTCAGCGGAGGCCCCATTTCCAGCCCTTCTCTGGTTCCCCAAAGCCTATTCCTCCTTCCACAAGCAGTGCTTGTCTCTGCTTAGAATCAGTCTCTCCCCTGCTGATGAAGACCAGTGGGTGGGCTACACTAAGGGAAGAACTGGGTTTGGCTTTTAATCCGTTGCATTTCTTAGGGAAGTTTTGCTTTGGGTGTTCTGTGATTTCCTTCCTTCTCTTAGTTTTGCTGGATGAATATAGATTTCCCTTCTGCAACAGATTATCATGTAAAAGCATACTGGTGAAAGCATATTGACATGAAGAAATATCTTTGGGGAGGAGAGGATAGTAAAACCTGCATGACGGGAAGGGGCAGAGGGCAGTAATGGGGAAGTGTCTTTAAATGGTAAACATGGGAGGGTAGGACAGAGGGCAGGATTAAGTGTAACTGACAGGACGGATGTTTAAAAGCACAACACAGAAGCCTCCTATTTATAAGCTTCAAATAATATATGAATAAGTTTAATAGGAATTACCATACATGGGGACTAGTATTTATCTCAGACACCATAGTTTACCAAATTAAAAGCCTTGTACCAAGTATGCCATATCTCCTTAAGATTAAGCTAGCCATTCAAACAAACAAGTTTTTGGTCAGAGGAGTTCTGGAATATCTCCTAGACAATACAGGATATTACCATTGCTCCTGATTGCCTACCAGAACTTGATGGGTAAAATCGTAATAAGGAAGACACGACACACTTTGACCACTGAGTAGGAATCCTCCTCTCTGCTGACTAGCTCTCACAGAGATGGAAGGAGCTACAGAGTCGTAGTGGGAGGAAGTCACCCAGTCATGAATGCTGAATATTGAAGTAAAAATCACCAAAGAAAACTAAGCTCATGGATACTACAGTGGCACAAATGTTATGGGAGTAAACAGTTGCTTTCTGATTAGATTTAAGGCCTGTTCCATAGAAGGAAACATGTGCCTGGTACTGAAAAACTGGACAGGAACCTGTGGTTGGGAAATTCACAGGCTCCAGGGGTGAACACACTATTGTAATTTTGCTACATGGACACCCAGTATCGAACTACTCTGTAAAATTTTATATTAGTGGAACTTTCAGACTTCATCAGAGAGAAAGCACACACTTTCTCTGTGCTGCAGTGGATGGTTGTGAATAGAAACTCACAGCTGATGACAGTGCAGAGACTAGGTGACTTTGGAATGCTCAGTCACAATGAGATATTTCTATGATATCTCTCCCCAGGCCTCAGGAATAGAAGCAGAAAGATTATTTGAGCCAGAAAGAGGGGAAGGGCAGAGCAAAACTGTGTCTTCTCGATGTGATAGGGTTAATGAACACACGGAACTCACAGCAGCCGTCATTGCGTATATAAGACCTGCACAATATCAAGCCAGTCAGGATTCTAGCATGGAGGAGAGAAAGTTCATTTTTCTCTGAGGAAGTGGCTTCTTGTAGAGTTGACCACACTTCAGTGGATGGTCCCATACTGGAAATATATGGGCAGCACAAACTGGAATTTATAGGTTATTAAATAAAAAAGGAGACACGAACTTAGGTGTGTCAGTGAGGTTGATTGGATCTGAGAGGAGTTGAGAGGAGGAGCTGGAGGTGAGTATGATCAAAATACATTGTGTGAGATTTTTAAAGACTTTAGAAATATTTTAAAGTACATATTATATTTTAAATAAAAATCACTTTATTGTAATGAACTAACAAAGGAAAACATTGCACAGCTGAGTTGAGGTAGTCACTTAAATACCTGCACAGATCCCAAACCTTATACATATACCACAGTTAACTTCTACACAGCTTAGAATGGCCATTCTGAAGCCATGGAGTTTTGCTTAGGGTTTTACTTTCTCATTTTCAGTTACATTTTTATGTACTTATCTAACACAAAAAGGAAATAAATCATGAGAAAGTTGCAACTAGGGGAACAACTTTTGTAACTCATGTATCCTTTCGCCTGTATTCTGTCCTTTCTTATTACCTACTATTATCCTAATAGAATATTAAGTGACATTACCCAATCTCAAAGAAAGAAAACACTGCATGAGTCTCCCTCATATTAGGGTTCTCATCTCTGGAGAAAAAAAATATTCTCCCTCTCTCAGCAGCCATTGACTGCCTGTAGCTTTTCATCTAGGGATAGAGGCTTGTGAAAAAATTTCTCATCCATGTTGACATGTCACTTTATCTTGTACAGGTCTTATGTGAAGAACCATATTGTTGAGACTTTATAGGCACAGTATCCCTGGCATGCTTAAAAGACACCATCTCTGCATCTTATAATATTTTCTCTACTTCTTCCATGATTGTAGCTGATGCATTTTTGTGTCTACCCAGCTCCTGCAGCTGCTCAGACCCAAGTAAACACACAAAGATTTATATTACTTATAAATTGTATGGCCCTGGCAAGCTTCTTGCTATCTAGTTCTTATATCTTAAATTAACCCATTTCTATTAATGTATGTTGCCATATGGCTTGCGGCTTATCAGTAATTTACATCTTGCTTCTCATGGCGGCAGCTGGCAGTGTCTCCTGACTCAGCCTTCTACTTCCCAGAATTCTTCTCTCTGCTTATCCTGCCTATACTATACTTCCTGCCTGGCTACTGGCCAATCAGCATTTTATTTATCAATCATTCAGAGCAACACATTCACAGCATACAGAAAGACATCCCCAGTACATGATTTACCTTGAGCCTTAGATATAAGAGTTGTTTGTAGATGTTCCAATTGGGGCTAATAATCTCATGGTCACTACTCATGCATTTTACATTTATGGATTCATATAATAGGCTTTATCTGTTGCATAACAAAACTTCTTAATGATAGGTGAGAACCACATTTATCTAAGAGTATAAGAAAAATATTTAGAATAATTGGGGGCTATAATAACTTAAGAAAATGGAAATATTAGGTTCTGTTTTAGGGTTTATGGCTTCTTGAGTGACAATTATTGGTCAGGTTTACAATACCAGGTGTGAGTTCTTTCTCAATCATTAGATATTAGAGTGGATATTAAGTTTATTTAGAGAACAGTTACCCCAAAGATAAAAATACCACTATTGTACTTCCTGGGCACATCATTGTGGTTTACTTGATAGGATTCTTAATAACTTTTCTCCATTGCCAGCTTGAATAACATCTTATGATATTATGATAGCCAGTCCTCAGGGAGGAAGCATCCTTGTCAGTAACAGCTGAATTCCTCCAAGACCTGCAATCCAAGTTTGTGGTGTCTAACTTTCAAGCTGTACTAGGAAAACAAGGAAAATGGCAATAGCCTATGTTGTCTTTGAGTGTCTTGGACCCCTCTTACCTATGTGAAGGGAGATGTTTATTGCTTTTGGGTATATGCCAAGAAGAGGCATAGTTGCATCATGTGGTAAATCTACATTTTACTTTTTGAAGATTCTCTACACTGACTTCCATAGGGGATTAAATTATTTGAGGACTCAGGAACAGGAAA